TCGTTCAGTCTTGTTTTTCATTGTCTTTTGGAACTCCGAAGTGAAAGGATTGATCTTTTGAAAAAAAAAGAAAGATCGTGTTGTCAATGGTCTACAGGTTAAGAAATTCATAAATAGACATATCATGTTTTAAAAAATTATTATTTTATCGAAAAACTAACAAAAATATTTGTTACTATTTTTGTGATATGATTCCTGAAAAATAAAATATCCAGGAAATTTCAGTATGTATAAAAGCACAGTATCCAAAATGAATTTGCTGTATTGTGAAATAATGGTAATAAAAAATATTTTGGCATTTGAATAGAAAATGTTTTAAATGTCATATTCATGGTTTTTATCCTTTTGGTTACCAAATATCATTTTAAATAAGAAATCATTATACATGTATAGGTTTTAAATGCAATGTGTATTTTTTTCAAATACTGTATAGCATTTGACGCTCTCTGCCGCATCAATTGTTTATGATTAGCGCATTTAGAGTCAGCTTCTTAAAATAGTTTTAATTAAAGAATCATATACGAGGGGTGATCAAATAGTTCGCGAACTATCTCTAAAGAGAGTTAATCTATATTTTCAAAGCCACGATTTAGATCAGAATGAAAATTGGAACACATAAAGTCAAAAACATGTTTTATTAATAGCAGATGGTAATTTATGTTTTGCAGCATGCTTATGACGTCACAATATAAAAGTGACGTCAATATGTAGATGACTTGTGACATAAAATGGTTGATTCAGTCGTACTCGAGCAAGGAATGGCTGTAAATTTAACGTATTTCCTCTAAATTCCTTTGAAATAGCATATAACAATTTATTCAAGATTAATGAAGACAAGGGACTTGCCAGAAGTTCAATCATTAATTTGATTCATTGTTTTAGTGTAGAAAGGGAGATGGTTAAAAATTATTTTAGTTCTGGTGCCCAGTGAAATTAAGCTGAGAAAGAAATGTGTCCTCTGCTCAGAAATTTGTTATAAAAGATCGGCAAGTTACAGTTAGAAATATGTTTGAATATCTTAAATTAACAATAAAATAATTATTAAATCCTTGAAATATCATTTACTTTAGACTTTAAAAATGTCAGAGATGACAATAAAAAGCACCCATGTTTCATTCACATTCGATAAATGACGCACCAAAGACAGAGAAGTCGGGTTGTAATAATCACCATGATCTCTTTGGGATAGATATCCTTATCCAACCATTTTATTGCCCAGATTTTGCCATTTGTGACAAATAGACTATACTTGGTAAAAAAAAAAAAATCTGCATGGTTAGGAATATAAGACTCGGAAAAATCTTTTAGCTTCTGTGAATTTAGCTTCTGTGAACAGTACGTCACTTGGCCGCCTGAACCACAAGATCCGCGCATGGGCAGAACGGTGGCAGATGTGCATTAAAACTGAAAGGGACTACTTTAAAAATTATAAACACTGAAACCTAATTTTTTACATATATGGAAGTAAATCAATTAGTTCGCGGACTTTTTGATCATCCCTCGTATAAGCGAGTTCTTGAATTGGCGGAAAAGAAGCAGCACAAAAGGCGCTAAAATATGATTTCAGCAGAAATAGATACATAGACAGTGTGAAAAAAGGTAGGAATGTTTTGAATCATTTCTGATTATGTTAGGCCTTGAAATGAAATATATGGAGATAACGAACAGTATTCAAGCTCAAAAGTCCATTAATCAATACAAAATAGGAGCAGAGCAAACACGGACCTCCAAACATCAGAGGTGGGATCAGGTGCCATGGAGGAGTGAGCATCCCCTGCCGACCGGTCACACCCGCCGTGTGCTCCTTGTCATGATCGGGAAATAACGGAAAAATCCGTCAACAATTCAGTGTGTAAATAATGGCCTAACAATTAGTGTGAAAAACGTCAGTCAGCATTTGATTCAATGATAAATTGTATTTGCTGACAAGGTCATTGTATCGACCATAGATCTTACGAAATGATGACTTTAAACGAGACAGCTGATATTCTTGTTTCATCAACTTATTTGTCAATAATTTACCTCGTTTTAGAAATTGTACATACGTGGAGCATGCTCTTGTGTATCGAATCAACTGAGAGATATATACCCCGTATGCAGGTGATGAAGGTATATTGCTGCATAAGTAAGGGAAGTTGACGATTGAAAAGTTAAAGTCATCACGTTTATCATAAAGCTTGGTTGTTAGATTACCATTAACGTCTTTTTCAAGTAAAATATCCAAATATGAAACAGATGTGTCAGACACTGTGGTATCTTTTATCTCAAGTTCACAAGGATATATCGTATCGACATGAGAATGGAAATAGTCATTGTTAATTGACAATACGTCGTCGATATATCTAAATGTCGAGTTGAAGGCCACAGCAAGTGTTTCTCCTTTTCACGTACAAGATTTTGGAAAAATTCTGCTTCATATGAATACAAAAAAGGTCTGCTAATAACGGGGCGCAATTGGTACCCATGGGAATTCCAAAAGATTGTTTGAAGACCTGGTCTCCAAAAACCACATAGATATTGTCAATCAGAGACTCAAGCATCTTTTTAATGTCAACTTCAGAGTACTTGTGTGAACAATCAGAATGTTTTTTGACAAAATAATTTTTGCAAATGACCAATGACAAGGTAAGTATATTTACGAGTTCCATTTTTATTGAAAAAGCAGCTGTCAATGATATCAAAAAGCCTGGACTTTAATTTATCGTGGGGAATGGTTGTGTACAAAGTTGAAAAGTCGTAAGTTTTTAAGCTGTTAATTTTGGTAAAATCTTGTGATTTCAAATTTTCCAAAAGTTCCTTGGAATTTTTAAGTATCCACATCTGATTTACACCACTTCTCGAATATATTGTTGCACAGTACTCTTGAAGTTTCTCCTTCACCACTGTTAACATCTTAGTGAGGAGTAAAGATAGAGGCTTGGTTGAACATTTACTGGAACCCGCTATGTATCTTTGTTTGTAAGGATTTTTATGAAGTTTCGGAGTCCAATATAAATATGGTAATTCAAATTCATTTTGGTTGTTTGGAATATTAAAAATATTCAAAACTGACATATGATTTTGAAGAATTTCTTCCTTAGAAATGGAACTATAAGTATAAGTTGGATTACCACTTGTAGAATTAAATCCAAGTTCCTCTAAAATACATTTAATATAATGAGCCTTACAAACAAAGACAATGCTGTTACCTGCTTTGTCAGCAGGGACCAGTACGTACTGATCATGTAATCTATCTAATTCTTTTTTCACTTCTGGATTATTGAATACAGAAGGATAGATGGTTTTCATATTGCCTCTCAATCTTTTAATGCGCGATTTTAACATACCTCTGATACATTTAATCCATTCTGACAAAGTGTCAAGGTCTTCTTTTTCATGTCTGGACCATCGCCTGGCGTAGTCCTCTACAGAATCCATAATATTTATGAAATTCCGACGCCAGTTGAAGGACCTGGGTTCCCTAAATTTAGGACCTTTTAAAATTAGTGATCTAAGGTCCTCATTATTAACTATATTTACGTCACCAGTAATAACGTGTTCAGCAGGACTATAGTTATAGGGCGAAGAAGAACATGAACACGATGGAGGATTATGCTTCAGATATTCGATATCCAGGCCCTGTAAAGTTTTCTTGTAATTAAAAAGTTTGGAAGCAATAGTCGATGTATATTTGTAGGAAATACAAGGTGGAGTCTTTAACTTGAAATATGGTGGAATACAAGACTGGACCCTTTTGTGATTAAGAATATTACTTATATTAACCGTGTCAATTCCTTTGTTGGCATATTGAAGTTTAAGGAAAAAACGGATTGTTTTAGCTGCATTTTCTTCAGTAAAACGCGGGGGTTTAAAAAGCCTATGATTGGCAATATCCATAATTACAGATCCGAGCCTATATTCTGGTGTCGAGGAATCAAAAAATGGACTTTCCTTGACCTTTTCAAGAAGACTATGTAAAAGTTTCAAAGGGACAGAGTAAAGTTTGGTGCGAATATGATGTAGACCTAACTGTTGATTTACGTAAGGTAGTAATGAATCAAAAGAGACATCGTGTATTGAAGGTTTATTGTAAGACCGATGCCCATGACTACGCTTACGTCTCTGTGTATGGTTAAAAAGTCCCATCACATTTACATTGTTACACTGTGGACTGGAAAGATTTCCAACACTATCGACATTGTCATTACATCCATAGGGAAAGGCTGTCCCTAGCTTTCTTATCCAAAATTCTTCTCGTTGTCTACGGAAAGGTGTGCTCAGTGATAGACTGTTTGTGTGGTGGTAAATCTTTTCCAGAATTCTAACTTTCATTGACAAAATAGAATGATCAGGTAAATTAAAATGTTTGTATAAAAGTTGCTGACCCCCATTATTTAGCTGAAATCTATGACCTGATGTTCTTTTATTGAGTGATCCCTTGGTTTCACCAACATAAACAAGTCCACAAAGATTACATTCTATTCCGTAGACAACATTAGAAGATTTGCAGTTCAGATTTTCCCAAGTTTTGGTACAGAAGCTCTGTCCAGTAAGATTACTGGTGAAAGAAGTTTTAGTTATCAAAATGTCACAGGTTTTACAGTTTTTCGCAGAAAATTTTGAAATAGAAGACATGGGATCGGAAAAGGAGTCTTCGAATATATCTCTAAGAGAAACTTTACATTCTTTCAATTTTTTGTATGAACTGTTGGTTTTATACCAAAACTGGGAATCTAAAGACTGTACATATGACATATGTTTAATATCCCTGAGGATTATCAATAATATCAATACATTCTCTTGCAAATCACAGCTAATCCTTTGATCCGGTAGTCTTGAAAATAATGTCAATACATTCTTTTGCAGTCATTGCTAATCGTTGATGCGATAGCCACCATGTACCTGCTACCTAGCTTTCTTTAAATGATTGAACCATTAAGTGAACATGAAAATATGTCTGAAAGTTTATTCCAAAATAACTCAAGAATATATGAAGAAAACACAGTTTTCTAGTGCGACGGCTTGAAAAGCATTAAATGTTTCTTACTTCATGTAATAATGTATTATTGGTTTGTCATTTCATCCAAAGTATTGCTAAGAATTTTTGAGATGCATTTATCCTTTGTTTTGTTTATGTTGTCAGCAAGCGATTCCTTTGAAATACCAAATTTGGTTCTATAATGTATACTAGACAAAAGATGCTTTACGAGACGTACATTTAAATGATCGACTGCAATATCAAGGACGGACCATCCTTGTTTGGTCCTCTTATACAGTTTTGCTTTGCAATTCAAAAGAATATCAACTATTTCCTCCTCACTTCCATCACCTTTCTTCTCAACCCCAATATAGTGTGCAGCCATCCACTTATTGTTTGTTGTCTCCTTATTTATTAGCCATTGGTTCTCAGGATCATCATAAAATATGTGGGCAACTTGCTTGCAGATTTTTACTTGTTTACTAGTGCATGCTATGTGCAGTACAGTTTTCTCTTCTTCTGTCAGAGAGGCAATGTCCATACCCTTTTCCAACAATAAATGAAAAATTTGTGTGTTTCCACCCTTGCTCGCATAATGAAGCGCATTCCATTTAAGGTTATCCGTGCAATTTAGGAGATCTTCAAAATGTTCAGTAATAAATGAAGCAGCTTCAAAATTCCCATACTCACATGCGATGTGTAGAGTTGTTTTCATTGTTTTTGTTTTAGCCATAATTAAGCTATCATTTTTCGATTTTAAAAGCTGTAAAACTTTTACATTATTTGAAAATGCTGCATAATGAGCAACATTCCAACCACATTCATCTTGTTTATCATTTTGTAGCATATTTTCATTCTCTATCATGCTTTCACAAAATTCGTATTTGTTTCTCATGATTGCAATATCTAACAAATTTAAGCCGTTTTTAGTTTTCGTTTTTAGATCAATATCAGTCTGTGTTAAGACAGAAAACATACTTAAATCACCATGCCATGCAACCCAATGGAATGGGTTGATTCCTTGAGATGTAGAAGTGGAATTATCCAGTAAAAGTTCCTTGTGTTTACTTATCAAGAATTCACTCATGTCTTTCTGTTGATATTTAATTGCGTAGTCCAGAACTGTCTGTCCTTGAAAACATCTAATGTCAAGTTGTACTTCATTACTGGTTCGTATTATTTCTTCGAGAATTGCAATAGACCCTTTGGCAGCATAATGCAATAAAGTACACCCAATTTCATCTCTTTGACATAAAATTTTATGTTTTCCTCTTTTAATAACTCTTGTGTCATTTAAATAATGAAACCCTATATATACTCCATTTTCACATTGTCTTTTTAAGAGGGCAAATAATTCGGAATCTTCAACTGTGAAATCGACGAAAATCCCTTTGTCATTGTCCACTAAAAACAATTGTTAAGGCAAATATCATTCACTCTAAAGTCAGTGCATTAAGATATCTTCAATTTCATGTCAATATAAAAACAAGAACTAAATACCAAATTTCTAATTCATTAATGCTATAAAAAATAATATTAATAAGAAGAATAATTTAGTAAAATTTAACTCAAGCGAAAAAGAAAAGCAATAAAAAAAATATTCAAAATCAATGGTAACTAATTAACGTACATTTATTAAAATATGAAATTATTTATCAAAAAAGAAATTTCAGTATTTTTAATTTCTTAAAATGGAATTTTAAAAGGTTGATGCCGCTGTCAAATAAAGCCTAGGTGAATTCTCCCCTGAAATGATTACTGCATATTAGTAAATTGTCTCGTAGGGGATGACTCTCTATTCATGAAATAAGAAGATAATGAACAGTATTCAATCTTGAAAGTCAAATGAAACGATACAAATTTGGAGCAGAGCAAACACGAACTTTAAAATTTAGAGATGGGGATGACTCTCTATTCATGAAATAAGAAGATAATGAACAGTATTCAATCTTGAAAGTCAAATGAAACGATACAAATTTGGAGCAGAGCAAACACGAACTTTAAAATTTAGAGATGGGATAAGGTGCCATGGAGGAGTGAGCACCCCCTGCCGACCGGTCACACCGGCCGTGTGCTCCTTGTCATGATCGGGGGAAAAAACGGAAAATCCGTAGACAGTTCATTGTATAAATATTGGCCTAACAATTAGTATGAAAAACGTCAGTCAGCATTTAACTCAATGATAGGTTGTGTGTGCTAACAAGGACAACGAAACTGTTGATATCCTTGTTTCATCAACTTGTTTATCAATAACCTGCCTCGTTTTAGAAATTGTTCATACCTAGAGCATGCTCTTGCGTATCGAATCAACAGAGAGACATAAACCCCATATGCAGGTGATAAGGGTATATTGCTACATAAGGAAGGAAAGTTAACGATTGAAAAGTTGAAGTCATCACATTTATCAGAAAGCTTTGTTGTTATGTTACCATTAACGTCTTTTTCTAGTAAAACATATTATAAGAAACCGATGCGTCAGACTCTGTGGTATCTTTTATTTCAAGCTCACTGGGATATATCGAGTCGACATAGGAAATGGAAGTAACTATTGTTAATTGATAATACGTCGTTGATATATCGGAATGTCGAGTTGAAGGCCACAGCACATGTTTTCTTTTTTCTCATGTAGAAGTTTTGAATACATTCTGCTTCATATGAATACAAAAATGGGTCTGCTAATAACGGGGCGTAATTGGCACCCATAGAAATTCCAACAGATTGTTGGAAGACCAGATCTCAAAAACTACATACATATTGCCAATCAGAAATTCAAACATCTTTTTAATATCAACTTCAAAGTACTTGTGTGTACAATCAGAATGCTTTTAAACAAAATAATTTTGCAAATGACCAATGACAAGGTAAGTATATTTACGAGTTCCATTTTTATTGAAAAAGCAGCTGTCTATGATATCAGTAAGTCTGAATTTCAATTTATCGTGGGGAATGGTTGTATAAAGTGTTGAAAATTCGTACGTTTTGGTGTTATTGGTTTTAGTAAAATTTTGTGATTTTAAATTTTCTAAAAGTTCCTTAAAATTTAAAAGTATCCATATTTGATTTACACCACTTCTCGTATATACTGTCGTACAGTACTCCTGAAGTTTCTCTTTCATTACAGTAACTATTTTAGTGAAGAGTAAAGAAAAGGGCTTGGTGGAACATTTACTGGAACCCGCTATGTATCTTTATTTGTAAGGATTTTTTATGAAGTTTAGAAACCCAGTAAAGCTATGGTAATTCAAATTCATTTTGATTGTTGGGAATATTAAAAATATCTAAAACGGACACATGATTTTGCAGAATTTACTCTTTAGAAAAGGAGCTATGGGTGTAAGTTGGATTTCCACATGCAAAATTAAATCCTAGTTCCTCTAAAATACAATTTAAATAATTGGCCTTACAAAAACAAAGACTATTTTATCATTCCCCATGCGTAAAAGATCAGCTTTCCGGAATTTTTACTATATAGAAAACGCTTACATTTATCAGGATAATTATTTGCTACTCGGAATTCAGCAAATTGATGTTATACGAGGGTAGTTCAATAAATAATGCAACAAACAGTATATCATAGTAAATGTAAATCTATTCAATTTTATTTTTTTCACAGCTGAAACGTTCAATGAAAGAGCTCCTAATAACAGAAAACCCCATGATTTTTCCTATTGTCCTCGCAAAGAAATTCACTTTCAAAGTATGCATGGTCACTACACTGAGCTGAAAACTGTTTAAAATGATCTCTGCCGAGAAGATGAACATGAGAGTGGAAATGAAAACTGCTTTTTTCATAAATCGCCGAAGAACTCATATTAAAGATATGATTTTTATACGTGGAAAGAAAAATCTTTGACGGTCTAAAGTTTTCAGATTGATTCAGAAATTCAGAAGTAAAAAGAAAGGAGAGTTAAAATATAAAAGTCAAACTGGTCGATCAAAATTTGAAGGGACACCAAAAATTACCGATGGTATGTGCAACATGATATATGAAAATGCCAGATTTAAATCCAGAAACATTGCCAGAACACTAAGCATTTAATCGTCATAACATGTTTCTGACAACGGAAATGAATATAATATTTCTATCAGATATGTGTCTTATTTTCTTAAAATAGTCTAAGAGAAAAATTTGCATTAAATGTGCCAACGGTCTTTTTGAAAACAAATATTTTAACAAAATAGAATATTTGTTAAAATCATGGAGATTATCATGATACAAAAGACAATTGATATACATGTTCTTGTAGGTCCTGTGTTGCGGAAACGCTCTAACAGTAACAACTGAAAAATTGATCCCAGATAGTTTTATTCAAAGATAATAATATCCAAACTATGATCTTTTGATTTTATGTAAAGTTACATCAGAGGCTGCGCATATAGTGTGTTTTGTATCTATTCACAGGTATTATAAAAAAATTGCACCAAAAAATGTCATTTCTTGTTCAATTTATTCTTTATAAAAATGATTGTAATTTAATTTATTTTTTGTCATATATTTGGATATTTTATTAGGAAAAAGACATGAATGGCAAACTTACACCGAATCTTTGTGAAAAACGTGATGACCAAATTTTCTTTCGCCAATTCCCTTATTTGTGTAGCAATATACAAGATTCAATGTCACCTGTATATAGAGTTTATCTCTCCCAGTTGATTCGATATACAAGAGTATGCTCTCTTAGTATGCACAATGTGCAAAACAAGGCAAGCTACTGAGATAAAAGTTGATGATACAAGGACATCAACAGTTTTGTTTAACATTTCGCAAATTATATGGTCGATACAATGACCTCGTAAGTAAATAAAATCTTTCTACTTTAAAGTATTATCGTACATGTTTGCCAATCCGGACATTATTAAGAAAATTATAGCATTTGTCTGCGAACTTTATGGAGAACCCTCAAACATCGCGGGTACGTTAAGGCAGTACACAGATCATATTTCGGCGAATTTAGACTTTTTTCGTAAAATGTAACATTGATAAATCGGAAAAGCCATAGATAAAACATTTACTATTATTATCCATTGTATAGACGTCATTGAGTCTTAGGCTAAAAGAAGCACTCCACTACGACGTCATCACGTGACGTCTATAAATAGAAAAATTGCCTTAATGAAAAAGTGAAAAGTTCAACACTACCCCGGGTATAATTGATTTCTTTTTGTGAAAATAATTATGTAAAAACATCACTGGACCATGAAAAGTGCTGCTAGAATCCTACTCTCCAAACACAGAAAAAAATATTCCAGAGTTTCGCATGAAACCTTACCAAAATTTTTACATTTTATAATTACGATCAAGGAATTATCATCAATTTATGTTAACCACACGATTCTAGCAGCACTTTCCAAGTACTATAGAATACAAGCTTTCGATACAAACAAAAAATATGTTTCACAGTATGCGGCGTAGTGTTGAACTTTTGCATCATTGTTGTTATAGAGCGACAGAGGAAAGGCTGATCGGGATTTCAAAGCACTGCCTGTGTTCATTACAAGAAAACATGATAAGAATATATCAGCGTACCTGATTCATAATCTTTAATTCCTTATGAATCACACATAACATCCAAGGTATATGCTTTAAAACTCCCATTTCATATATTTGTTTACATGAATTCTCGTCACGTTTCATTTTACTCGGCAAATATTTGATCAATAGTTATGACGTCATGGGTTTGGTATTTAGCCCCCGTGATAAATACTTAGCTATTTATACCACCCAAAAATGACATGAATTAGTTTATATTATGTTTTTGAATGATTCCATTCATTTCTTGGACCTTAAATTAAACTTTAAATATAGCAATTAAGAAATCATTATTTGTAAAGATCACGTCATACAGCTTACTATGACGTCATATTGTAAAGGCAAGTAGGATATCTCTGGGTGTAGCCTTAACATACCCGCGATGTATCTCATGTGTAAAAAAACAGAAGGAAGGCGTTTTTTAATTCTTACCTGACATATGAGTCTTAATATCGATTTGACGCTTGGTATCTTTTGATGTACTTCTATCGGTCAAATCTGTATTGTATACAGAAAATAAACATTATTCTATTCATGATTTTAATAGGTTTTCATATTTCATTAAATAAACATGTACATGTATGAACATGTAGTAATTTATAACGGTTCAAAGAAATTCTATATTAGCACCCCTAATCAAAAATAAATTTTCCATTAAAACTTCTTAGGACACATATCCTAGTTGATCCTTTCATATTGGATGCGATTTCTAAGTTGTCTTAAAATACTTTACCGACTTCCGTAAGAAAAAAATCAAAAGTACTATGACTCTAATGTATTTTATAGTAAATGAAAAATACATTTTTCCCTGTCGACTCAATCTAACTATCGGTGAAAAAATAGTACGTTACAATATATGTATATCCAGTCCAGTTTATCCATATTCATTTTCTACTATTGATAATTGACTGCAACCGGAAGTTAGATTTTTTCGATCCGCTTTATTTGAGGTATTAATTGACTTGTTTATGCTTCTTTAAGAGGCATGTGCAAGTACAAATCAGTGTTCATATTTAACTATTTCGGTGAAATGATTCATGGATGGCATTTATTTCAAAGTCTAAAAATCCCCAACAGATTCCGTGAGAATATTCAATAATATCTAAACTGAATAGGAAGTTCTTTGCCATAGTATATAGGTACAAGATTCTTCAGTATTTGAGTGAGTATATTTTTCCAATGGTAGAACAAATACATAACTTATATTTAAAAAAAAAAGATAACCTTCACTACGAAGATCTGGCTGCATATCTCCATTGGAAGAACCAACTAATGGAATAAATTCTGAATAAAAAAAAAAAATTACTATTATTATTTCATGTTGTAAAGGGCATTTCCTACAGTAAATACTTAATTCTGTCGAGAAAGAGACACTAGGCATTTTTTTTTATTTTTTCGACAGAGCTTTAATTCCTGACGATTAGACAATACATGCATGTAACACATACTATAACTCTAATTCAATGTCCTTAGAAAAAACAAGATGTGTTTGTGAAACACTGATGTCCCCGTATGGCAACTCATATCAAAACTTTTTTCAAATACAATTCAAATATGTTGGTACCCAAACTAAGGTCTTGTCTCGAGTTATATACCATTGAAATATGAAAACACTAGCAGCTACCTTGAATAGATATGGAAAAGGTTAAAGTTTTTCAAAAGTAAGTCAAACATCAAGTTCAAATGGATAAAAATTAATCGTGCCCAAGGAAAGGCCTTCTAACAATAAATACACATATGAAATATGAAAGCCCTGGCACCAACCGTTCAAAAGTTATGACCAAAGTTAAAGTCTTTCAAAAGTAGGTCAAACTCCCAGGTGAAAGGGTCAAAGTTGTTTGTATCCAAAGGAAGGTCTTGTCACAACGATTACATATGTGAAGTATGCAAGCCCTAGCACCAACCGTTCAAAAGTTATGGCCAAGTTTAAAGTTTTCCAAAAGTAGGTCAAACTCCAAGGTCAAAGGATCAAAGTTGTTGGTATCCAAAGGAAGGACTTGTCACAAGAATTACATATGTGAAGGACGAAAGCCCTAGTACTAACCGTTCAAAAGTTATGGCCAAGTTTAAAGTTGTTCAAAACAGGGTCAAACTCCAAGGTCAAGGTCAAAGTGTCAAAGTTTCTGGTATCCCAAGAAAGGTCTTGTCAAAAGGTATACACATGTGAAATATGAAAGCCCTGGCATCAATGGTTTAAAAGTTATGGCCAAGGTTAACGTTTTTTCAAAAGTAGGTCAAACTCCAAGGTCAAAAGGTCAAAGTTGCTGGTATCTGAAGGATGGTCTTGTCACAAGGTATACACCTGTGAAGTTTGAAAGCCCTAGCACCAACTATTCAAAAGTTACGGCCAAGGTTAAAGTCTGAAAAAATATTGCAAAAGTGGGTCACACTCCAAGGTCAAGGTCAAAAGGTCAAATTTTATGGTACCCAAGGAAAGGTCTTGTCACAAAGAATACACAGGTGAAATATGAAAGCCATAGCTCCAACCAATCAAAAGTTATGAGCAAGGTTAAAGTTTTTGCGGACATACAGACAACTAGACAGACAGACAGACGCACGGACGGACAAGGCGAAAACTATATGCACCCGAATCTTCGATTACGGGGCATAAAAATTCCGTTGTTATTAGCCTGTGCTTTAGCAAGATTTTCAATCTTCAACAAAAACTAAACTTGACTTCTTTAAATATTTCCCATAAGGATTTGAGGTTTAAATTAAATAAAACTTTGTTGATATGACCTTTGAACAATTGAGCAAAATCTCATCTTCTAACTCAGGGAAACTTTATTTTTATAGTAAAATCTTAAACTGTACTGATTATAAATTGCAGGATTACTTAAAGTTTCCTTTGAAAAAGCATGAAAGATAACAGCTGACAAAATTAAGAATCAGTGCACATTCACTATTCATTGAAACAGGTAGATGCTGTAAACCAATAATTCCTAAGGAAAAACGTTTATGCTATGCTTGTAAATTATTGGTTGAAAATGAAAAAATATTTTGTACTTTACTGTCCTGTGTATGACAATCTTCGATTTCAATATTGTGATATTTTTCATGATAAATTATACTGTGGTACTGATTCCATTAAAGAAATTGTTAACCCATGTGGTTATAATACTACAAAACGTTTACGTATCTACTTAGATAAATGCTTTATGCAGAGGAAACAATCCCAGAGTCTATAAGAAATTGTGTAAAATTGAATTGCATGCAATTATAATATTCTTCTTCTTTTTTCTGTTATCTGTCATTTGATTTCTATTTTTGACTGTATGCCAACATGGTGATGTCAATAAATTGAATTGAATTATTTTAAATTAAAGTGTTTATAGCTAGGTGGACGCTTATTTATACATGTCATACCTTGTAAAAGAATATACATATTCATAATTTTAAAAATGTACTCCTTTGCATGTCAAAAGATTTCATATGAATACATTGAAGATTTTTATAATGCATTTCAAATCCACTGTGTTAGCTTCTTGAATGCTTCGAGAACAAAATACACTCATGTATAGTATTGATTTTCATTCAATTTCATGCATTCGAAATTAAATAAAAATAAGAAAATATCTTCTTTTCTTCAAAAAAAAAAAAAAAAAAAAAAAAAAAAAAAAAAACACCAATACACACATATTTTTGTAACTAACCTTCTCTTTGTTTATCTGTCTTAACTTCTTCATCCCTATCTTCAAATGGTGGAAAGGAATCTGAATTAAAAGTAATTATATTTATTTTACTTTATTTTAATTTGTGGAAAAGGCTTTTCCATAGTGATGGCTTAAATTTTTAAAGGAAAATACACACAATTTTCGTTTTTCTTTATTTGACTGTTTCATTTTTTGATGATCATATAATAAGACATGTATGTGGTTATGTCTTGATTCGATATCCATTTGAAGGTAACATTACAATTATCCGTAGTGACCATGTGCTCTTTATTTCTGTGCTTTCTTTGTATGTAGGTCGTAGCCTACATTGCCAAAGGTCAAACATAGATTTGGTTTTCATCATTGATGAAATACTTAACTGAATTGTGTAATTTATTGATGCAGTAAAACTTTATTGAGTATAGGATTAAATAGTGGATACGCAAGTATTAAGATATCGTTAATTGATAATAACTTTTTAATTTTATCTAATTACCATAATACACGATTGATTGTAAGTAGTTTAACGTGCAGTTCGGGAATTTTTCTCGGTGAATTTTTACCGGTGAAGGACTTCAAATTTAGATCTATACTCGGCACTCAGGACCATTGAGCAGTGAAGGATCTTTATCGTGCCAACACCTTCGTGTCAAGGGTCCTTTATTTAAGGTCTCATCCGAAGGACTCGCAACTTTCACTCCAAAGTGCCGAGCATTTGGCGAAGGTACAGTTGCTGTCTATTTTTATCGTCTTAGGTCAGTCGCGGTTTGAACCAACGACCTTCCGATCATGGAGATTATCATAATACAAAAGACCATTTTTATTATCTAAAGTCAGTTTTATTTAAGATTGACCGGGAGATGTGAAAAAATATGGATATTCAATGTTTCTTCTTTAATTTACCCAGTAGCTATATATTTCATCCTGAAGAAGAGATAAATATTAGTACTTTTAATATATGTATGAAATCGGAAATAAGCTACAAATCCTTGGTTTAAAAGAAGCCAATGACTTACTTTGTTTATGAATCTTCAGACAAAGGATGACAAGAACTAAAATCGCTGCCGAAAGCAAAACAGAAATAGCGATAACCGCAACAGTTAAAGCTGTAACGGTGTTTTCTCAATTGGTTGACTGCTCTACTGGACAGGTACACTTTACCTTTTCTTTTTCAATCCTAAAAGTACAACACATATAACAAAATGTGGAACTTTTTGGAGGTAGGGTGTGTGAAGGGTTTCTGTCTTGATAGTTCTTACTTAATTCTAGATACATGTAAACATTGTCTCCTACAAAGACATGGGGATAGAGTTCAAACATTTTTTTTCTTAAAGAAGAGCAAATATAAAGGCATTCTATTGAATCAAATAGGGTTTATAATATTTTTTGTTAGATTATAGAAAAAACCAAATGATATGAAATAAAGAAAAACAAATCCTTCAGTTATTAAAGTGCATAAAGTTTGTGGAATTTTGAGGAAAATTTACCTGTGCATAAAATAAAATCATTTGACCTGACTTGTACTTACTGCGCTTGCATGAAGTAGCGTTTTTTCAAGCAACTAAGATCTGCTGCGAAGCAGTTTTCAGCAAGACTTAAACATGCTGGATCTGTAGGAAAACATTAAAATCATATGCAGAATGTAATTCTTCAGAAAAATATATTTTTAATACTTTTTTGATTTTTATTTACTTTGCACATTGACAACCTACATTTATAAATTTCATTGCTGAAATAATCCTTGTCAGGACAACCATAGCTGAAATGACCACACTTGACGTGGTTTAGAATTCCAGTATAGGCGAGTTCCAAACAATTCCCTAAAAGTATGTGCAATTTCAATGCATTTTATCTAACGTTCAATTATCAATATAATGGCAAAAATATAAACATTCTAGAAATTAAAAATTACCTTTTTGAAAAGGAATACGTCTCCCTCTCGGATAACAAAATTCTATAAGAGATGAGAAATTTTTATCAGGGACACAATGTTACCCATGTGTATCGTTGCAATTTAACCTAACAGATGCATCAGACAATTCTTTGGCATTCGTTGGACAGTTTTCTCTTGAATAAACGGGAAAATCATATCCTAATGAGTCAGTCATCTAAAAAATAAGAACATGAAGCATTAACATAATTGTATTAGATGTCAGTATATATATCACCAAACCCCATAACTCCGTCACTACCCTAACTGTGTCACTTTCGGGAAACTGTTTGTAACGAATGCGATTGTGACGTCATTTTTACATGCTGATATTTACAATCAAATGCCGATAAATTTTTACAGTCAAGTTTAAGAATGCGTCAAAAATGAATAACAATTACACGTGATATTATATATATATAAAATAAAAAAAACTTTAAAGCACTTTCTTGAAATATATCAACCATTCTACCGGCCTTCATCAGTCCTGTTCATTTAAATGCATAGCAACTAACATTGAACAACGTATAATGACGTCACAATCTACATAAAAGAAAGATAACGTCAAGAATAAAAATTGCACGAAAAACATCTGAAAAGATTGCGAAAGTTGCAATAATAAAGTAATTAGATGATACATATATGTGGACTCTAAATAGCGTAAAGTAAATTCTTACATAAAAATAAACATATGTACAAAATGTACACACACGCAAAACTGTTCTTTAACATTGTTGAGGGACAATAGTGCTCCCTTTTGTTTAAACCAAATGGTATATATTAAGTATTTAACATTTTCTTTTATAGATTTTCCCTATATTTCCGATAAATGTCATTATTGTACAGTTTTTCAATACCTATAATATTGTAATGTTTTAATGTGTGGAATTCTGAGTAAAAATGGGCAGCCACAGGGTCACAGAGTCATTGGTTTCTCTAGTAATGAGTGAGAGATTGAAGACATGTCTTCGGTATAAAGTCCCCCCCCCCTCCCATTTTCTCCAAAATACACAATCGTAGATAGATATATAGATAGATAGATAGATAGATAGATAGATAGATAGATAGATAGATAGATAGATAGATAGATAGATAGATAGATAGATAGATAGATAGATAGATAGATGGATGGATGGATGGATGAATGGATGGATAGATAGATAGATAGATAGATAGATAGATAGATAGATAGATAGATAGATAGATAGATAGATAAAATATCTTTACTGCCATTGTATATTCTCTGTTTTTCGCTCAAATAAATATAGAGACAGTTTGACTATTTTTATTTAATAAGAAAGTTCGCATAAAATTTCAATTGTAGCAATTACCTTTGTGTTGGCTAACTGTAGCGCAACGTACAGCAGAACATGTAACGCAGGCATATCAACACTGCTTAAAGTTCCCTGCAAACAAAATATAGTCCATTATGTAAGTTTCTTACTTAAATTTTCATGAAACCATTGGGATTAAAGGTTATTATTACAAAATAATATTTTTTTCATAAAACGAGATAAAACAAAGATGCTCCAAAAAATTCTTAATGTTTACATAAATTCTAGTTTAAAGATTGAAACTTGAAATACATTTCTATTTCACATAACCTTTTCAAATTTCATTGGTCTCATGATTAACACCAAAGTATGCAATTTATAATGACAAAAAGGGATGTTAAAAATCAGTTTAACACCTGTTGTCATTGCGGTAAGAAAGGAAATTATTAAGTATACATTGTTCGTGATTTTTTTTCTTCAAAGGAATCTTTTTGGAAACCACAGAGAAACCCACAGATGATTTCATATTATTTCAGTAAAAACTATAGTCGAAACCTGTTCCAGTATTAAGTTTCAGAAAGTATTTAAGTTTCTTTCAGAATAGTAATCAGCGATTCATACTATTCGAAAACGCTAGCTTAAAAAACCAAAACCCTTTGCTAGCACTCGGTAATTCGTCAGATTTCTTTGCTTTAAGATGATATCTATAGATGTATGTTATTTACATCGTTTAGTCGTTTCATTATTCTAAATCCCTAAGCGCTCGCTTTCCTTTCAACTAACAATTGTCTTTGGACTTATTTTAGTGGTACAAGTTAATATTAAGGAAGCGAAGAAGTCAATGAAGAAGTTCAAACTTGTAACGTTAATTAACTATAGTACATGTACATGTACGAAGGTTGTACAAAAATTCCGTGAACTGAGCTTATATTTAACAAACATTAAATTAAATGTATTTCTGTATTTTTTAGGTTGGACAAAGTAAAAACGGTTAAATCTCAATTTTCATTACTATTTGAGTAGTAAATACTTTCTTGTATGACTTAAGATATCATATACCGATTTTTCAATTGCAATTTTTGTGTGCCTTCTTACACCAGACAGTAAAATATTGAGTTTAAACAGGGTTCATTTCTGTAATTTCTCAATTTTTGTCCATAAATTCATTAGCTATTGTTAGTTTTATCTATGTACAAAGTTTAATTGTTTCATTTATAATACCGGCTCCTACAAAACTACGCTTGTCTATGGAATTTTGGGACAGCCCTCGTACATCCACATTTATGGGCAATATTAAACATGAGTCAGCGTTATCAACAGAAAACAAGCCATTGAGAACGGCTGCGTTAAGCAAATTGAAGGGAAGCAAACTCTACCGAGGGTCTGGAAGACTGAAACAGAGTCGTGGGATACGGAGTAATCAAGGAACAAGTCTTACCACGTTCAGCTTGACAGAAAAATGAGAGAGTGTGCAGTTCAACTATGACGAATACATCAGGCAAAGATGGGACACTTTAACATACAATTTTTATGTATCATAGAAAAATTTGATGGCAAATTGTCTTCACAGTTCGGAAAACATTTTTAAATGAATACATGCGAAGTAGTGAAAAGGGAATGTTTACTGCATTTGAACTAACGATACAATCACTTAGGAATGAGAAATATGAATTTTGAAGTCACTGTATAAGATACTGTCAGTGGAATCACGTGAAAACACGAAAATGGACACTTTCGTTGGTTCACTGGATAGTCCTGGCAAACGGGGGAAAAATGTACATAAAATTAGTCACAGCTAGTCACAGCTAAATATAAGAATTTAACGCAGTATATGTGATCCCAGCACACACTGTAGAGAATATAAGAAAAAGTAGTCAACTCGAATATTCGCTTCCAGATGTCTGGAACTGCAATGAAGAGCGAAGGATGAAAATGAATTTTGGAGAAGTCACAGTAGATATTCTTAGGAAGACATCGAACTTTAACTTAGGAAAGTTAGGAAAATTTATATACCTAGCTAACATAATTCAAAGACAATTCCTGTTACAGAATTAATACATTTAGCAACATGCACATGTAGTCACTACTTATGGCCTTCGTAAGATTCAATGACAAAGTGGAAATGAACTTGAAATATTCGAAAGGGAAATGGACTTCAGTAGCATCGATATATGGTGTAAGTATATTGTGTCCAAAAAAAAATAAAAAATAAAAAAAAACATGTGCAAAACTAATTACAAACAAAATTTTTCTCTACTACTTTTCATAGTTATAAAAAATAGACAGTATGTATCAGGTAAAAGGTAGTCATAGAAACATCTTGATACATGTAGTATACGTATTTATTACAAAATAATTCTGCACCAAGTAGATGTCTGTTTTTAATTTATAAACTTAGCTAATCATCGTATTTTAGTTTAATAGTAAACCCTTACATCTAATCTAAGCTTTTTCCAATCTCCGTTGAGATTCTCATTCAGAACCCCTATGTTTAGCATAATAAAAATCTCACAATGTCTCTCTCTGGAATACGTGCAATGTACTAAGACTTATGCTAGTGTAAAAAAAAATACCACACTGAGGAAAGCCATTGTGAGATTTGCCATCTCTATTCCAGTGCATGCACAGATTCCCGGATATCAGCGAGTCACATTATGTGATTTATAAGAATTATTTAAGAAATAAATAACAATGTTAAAAACTTCTCTGAGAAATGAACTTAGCTGGTCAGGTGATTACATGTAAATCCTGTGAAGTCCGAATTGCTTCTCAATAGATTTAATCAAGTACCAATCAAGTTCATTTCCTAGCAGCCGTTACGGTAGCCCAGCCGGGAGAGCGCTCGCTCCGTGATCGGTAGGTGGTGGGTTCGAATCACGGCCGCGACTTACCTAAGGCGATAAAAAAAATAGGTAGCAACTGTTCCTTACGCCAAGCGCTCGGCACTTTGAAGTGAAAGTTTCGGGTCCCTCGGATGAGACCTTAAAAACTGAGACCCCGTGTCATGGTAGGCGTTGGCACGATAAAGAACTCTCACTGCTCAATGGCCCTGAGTGCCGAGTAAAGGTATATTGAAGCCCTTTGCCGGTATATGATGACGTCTCTATATGAGTGAAAAATTCTCGAACGGGACGTAAAATAACATACAATCAATCATTTCCCAGTGACCTTTTTAAGTATTACACGAACGGCTCGCCGAATCATTATGTTGTGACACGCATTGACCAAGTAGTTATTTGGTTATGAAAGTTCGCCTAGCTAACATTGAATGTTAGCAGTCGAGTTCAGGAAATGTCTGTTTTTAATGATAAAACGAACAGTGATCGGTATTGAGAATATTCTTACTATTGTATGTGTGTGTGACGTCGAAAGCAGTGGTATCGTTTGTTTCAATTCACATACCTTTAAAGGAATTTTGGGTTTTAAAGAAAGGTATTTTAATACTATTATTTAAGCCATTCCTCACACATATCTAATGGGCATCTGTTGATTGAAAAAGAATATCCATTTGTTTCAATTATTTTATGTTTTGTCATGTTTTGTCATCGCTATCAAGGTAGAAATTTCGAAACTAGTCTCACTGTGACATGAATATGTAGGCAAGATATCTTTCCGTATGAGTCGGTGACACTATGACCTCAAACCCCTGATAAGTTCATACAGAATTTTCAAAAGTTCATCTAATGAAAATATTTGCAAAATAATGTAAGTACATACACATAGTTAAATGTACAAATTACTATGCAAAAGTCACCCATTAGTTAGTGGTATGCATCCATCAACAAAGTTTCAGATATTACAGAGGACATAGACATAAAACAACACAACCAGTCCTAATTATCATGAATTCATTATAAAATATAACTTTACAGGGCCTGATATTTAAAGACAATGTGACGTTTTCAATTTGTATGAAATATGCATGAATATATGAATAAGAAATACATGAAACGACATACATATTTTGTCTCTTAATTCATGTGTTTACAATTGATATAAAGATAGAAGAATAAATGTAGAAGTGTATACACCCCAATCAAAAGGTGTAAGAATAAATATAAAAGTGTATACACTCCAATCAATAGGTGTAAGAATAAATGTAAAAGTGGTACACATACCAATCAATAGGTGTAAGAAGGTAAATGGGACTAAAAAAAATAAACGATTATGTACAAGCTAATTTAAGACAAACCAAACGATAACATAGGCATTAAATAATCAAATTAATCAGCTATACATTTATACAGTAAAGCAATTGACAGGAACTTATATTCCTTAAGTTTAACTATCTCTTCTTTCGTTTGCACCATACTGTTACTTAAGTTAACTTTAAATCGTGTCTAAACATTGCTATTTGATCCACAAGGACACAAAAGGCGGATTTCAGTAGGTTATTGATATGATGATAACTTAATGTAAATATTTACAAGTTAGAAAATGTATACGCCAAGGACATCTTTATTGAAATTCAAAATACAACTATAACAATGCCAAAATTGTTATCTTATTCAAGGATATTCAAGGATATTGCAAATAATTTTGAAGAAATATTTATTACAAATATAGAATAGAGTTTATATTCTTGCAAAATGTTTGAAAAAATCTTCCAATTCGTGTAGTATCATTACCTATGGCTTCAAGATTTAATGATAAGTGACCTTGAACTTGAAGTATTTGAAATGGAAAGACCTCATAAAATCGATATTCGGTATAAGTCTGATAACACAAAACAAAATCCTGTTTATTAAAATTATGAAGAGACTGAAACTAATTTTAAAAAAATAGACTTCCTATTATTTTTGGTTTTGAAATAAAGATACTAGGTTTCAGGTTGAAGGTAGTTATTGAAACATCAATTATGACGTTTGACGGCATTACAGCTTTAATAAGCGGAACATTAAAACACGTCAAGAAAAATGAACAAATATAATTATATAGAAACAACAAATTAATTAAAGAAATTTTGTACCGGAAAACAAACAAGTATTGATTCTACAATAAGGTGATGTTATGAGGAATCAATAAACAGTCCAGGTTTATTGAATATTCTGAGTATATTGTTCTAATTGCCTTTATATTAAGGAAATAAAAGTACAAGTGCAGACATGCCCAATCTATACGTGTTAAAGGTCGGTAATGGTGACAAAATAGTAATAAAACAATTATTGGTTGACAAACCTTTAAAGAGAATCAGAACATATTCGGCATTAAATAAATAAAATTAATCAAATATACTTTATAAGTAAACATAGACAAGCATTTACTTACATTTACTAAAGTTTATTTTCTCTTCTATCGATATAATGCACAATGCTGTAAGTTACCTTTAAATCATGTCTATACTTATCATGCTATTTTATCTGTGGTGCACAAGGAAGCACAAGTGGATTCAGTTATTGATATGTTAGTAAGCTAATGTAAAGAATACACGATAGATATTGTATATACATGTATATGAAACCTATCTTTCTCTTTAATTCAAACCACATCTGCAACAATGCAACAATTACAAAGAGTTATTTACTCACAACCATGAATTTGAAAATTCACAATTGTATAGAGATAACTTAATCTTCTATTTAAATCTGAACACGATTCGTAAAAGGGAGATCTATGTTTGTCCGCCATTTTTCTCTGCATTTTCTGTTAGCTGTTAGCCCTACCTAAGCCGTTCATCTGGACTCGAGTCCGTGTAATCAGTTTTCACCGGTAAGGACGGACCTATTCTACATAGCTATTGTAAAACTTTCGGCAATTAGAGTAGCATAAGAGTTGCATAAAAATAGAAAGTTTTGGAATTTATAAATCTCGGGAGGGGGGGGGGGGAAGCGCGTAGGATAACAATAGCAAACAGATGCTGGGCATGGGTGCAGTGTGGACTTTTCACCGCTGATACGAAAATTTATAACTTGTTTATAAGATGCTAGTGTAGTCAAGAATGATGGTATAACCATTTAAAGAGTTTGAGGCGAGGGACCAGAGAGGTCATGTGTCTGTATAAATTATCTGCAAGGAATAAAATGTGGGTGAATAAAAAAATGACCAAACACATATTTATGAACCTGCACTAAACATGCTGAAATACAGGCAATGAAAACAGATTTCTATGTCTCAGCATATGTCTTTAGATAGTGTCTAAATATCTGGCAAATATCTCATTGATATCTCAATTCACAAAAAGTTACGCCCAAAAATGATGCTAAAAATGTCAGGAGTGCAACACCTTTTTGTGACATTTTGAAAACTCAATATTTTTTTGAAGATCTGTGGAAAAAATAATAATGGTTTATGTTGGAAATAAAGACTTTCCTGATAATATTCAAAGTATTTAGAGAATTGGAAAAGTTTTCAGTGTTGCAAATGAGACAAATGGTTACAGAAGATTTTTTAACAAGACAAATCAAAACTGCTTCAATCAAAAATGTCCCGGAAAATGTCTTATTGTCTAATTTTAGACAATTTTCAATTTTCGGATAAGAAGTGCACACGCGACACTCATCATATTGTAAGATATTAGTGTGCAGGGTATATCTAATAACTGGACAAAACTAGGTGAGTGTCCTTCATGCACTTCAATTTCTAAACATCGATTTATAAATTACACCCTCTTATATTTTCCCCTAAGCCTAATGTTTAAGCATTTGAGGGTGCATCTAAGTGTATGTCAGCTAAGGTTTGAATTCATCTCATATTAACTTTTGAAATATTGATAACAACAAGAGGCCTAAGGGCCTAAACGGTCACCTGAGTATAATACAGCACTGAAAAGGATCCATAGAAGAAAACAAAATCAACTGATAGACGAAACAATGTTGCCCAAGAATTTCAATAATCTGGTAAAAATACCCTAAGGCTTGCTTATTGTAACGTGTTAGACCCGAATGATCACCTTAGGATCATACTTGGTTTTCCCAAGTCTTACAGGGATGATGAACGCAAAGTATACAAATATAATGGACACTTGCCTATTGTGTAAGGTATTCAATATATACAGATATGTTTTTGTCACTTGCCTAGTGCTACAATTCAGTACACACTGACTTGGATATACAACATGGCTATTTGCCACGTGTCACAAATTACAATAAGTCACCCTGACTCTCTGTGGTTTTTTATTTACTTTGATAAAGTATCAAACAACTTTCCCAGTCTCTTGTCAACCATGACGCTACCTGTGACAATAACTCATCTACTGTCAAACAGAACACCACAGTGTAAACATACTATGTACAATTACAACTTTTGCTAAATATATAGATAATCTTTAATTTATGTCAATTTTTTATATTGCTTTCCAGGTTAAAATCTGACTTTGAGAATGCTTTGCTCATTTAAACCAAACATTTTTTTTGTTTCTATATATATATATATATATATATATATATATATATATATATATATATATATATATATATATATATATATATATATACATTCTTTCTTGTATTCTTATTCAATCAAATAACCTCTTAATTAAATTATATACAAGGATTTCTTGATTAACAACATCTAGCAAAGGGGAGTAACTGTCAGTTGCTTCACTTATTATAATTTGTACTCTGTTTGTCTCCTAGATACCCAGGAGCAAAGAAAAGGCACCTTTAATTATAATTTTATTTAATACATTTGCATTGATAGTATTGCATTTAGTTTGTTTGCTTAGTATTCAGGGGCGAAGAGAAGACTTTCAAAGCATTAATGCATTTTTGCTAATTAATCAATAGAATCCCACCCAAGCACAAGAACCCCTGACCCTGGTGCCATGAAATTCACAATTTTGGTAGAGGCACCTTTTTTTTTTTAATCAGAACTATGTATTTAGTTTGTTTACTTATGAAAATACTATGGGGCAGAGGAGAAGATTTTCAAAAAATTGATGCATTTTCACTATATAATCATTATATCCACGCCCTATCACCAGAAACCCAGACCTTTTGACCATGGAATTTACAATTTTGGAAGTGGCACTCTTCCTCATCAAACCTATGTCATTAGTTCATTTGCTTAATACCCAGGAGCAGAGGAGGAGATTTTCAAAGAATTGGTGCATTTTCACTATATAATCATTAGCGCCCTAACACCAGAACCCCTGACCTAGGATCCATGAAATTCACAATGTTAGAAGCGGCACTTTTCCTCATCATAACTATGTACTGAGTTCATTTGCTTGATACTCAGGAGCAGAGTAGAAGATTTTCAAAGAATTTTCACTATATAATCATTAGAGCCCCGCCCTAACACAAAATCCCCTGACCAAGGGTCCATGAAATTCACAATTTTGAAAGAGGCACTCTTCCTCATCATAACTATGTACTTTGTTTATTTGCTTAATACCCAGGAGCAGAGGAGAAGATTTTCAAAGAATTGATGCATTTTCACTTTATATCTTTAGATCCCCGCCCTAGCACCAGAACCTCTGACCGAGGAGCCATGAAATTCACAATTTTGGAAGTGGCACTCTTCCTCATCATAACTAATGTAGTTAGTTTATTTGCTTGATACCCAGTAGCAGAGGAGAAGATTTTCAAAGAATTAATGCATTTTCACTATATAATCATTATATCCACGCCCTAACACCAGAAACCCAGACCTTTGGGCCATGGAATTCACAATTTTGGTAGTGGCACTCTTCCTCATCAAACCTATGTAATTAGTTCATTTGCTTAATACCCAGGAGTAGAGGAGAGGTTTTTCAAAGAATTGGTGCATTTTCACTATATAATCATTAGAGCCCGCCCTAACACCAGAACCCCTGACCCAGGGCCATGAAATTCACAATGTTGGAAGTTACATAGAATTTAACAACAGAATTCATTTAGAGCCATTGTTATGTGCGTCTGCTAGACTTCAGTATAGAAAGAAATCATTTTTGCTTGTAGAATTCGTTTATTTTGATGTAATCAGTCAGCATGTCCTTAGAACGAATACTAACCTTAAGCTTGCCCTTGATAACATTAATCAGACAGAACCGCAGCTTAGAGACTTACTGTCTTTACAAAGTATAATTTCTTTCATATGATTATAAAACTTAACTTGTGAACGTATCTCTACTCCTTGTTTACACATGTACCTACCTACGTAAGGTGAATTTATCCTCTTCCTGGCGTATGATGCATAATTTTGTTAGGTATTGATTTTGATTCCAGCTTTAATCGATTAGTGTCACGTATTGCAGTAACGGTTGCAACCAAATGACTTTTTATTATGCATGTTCTTTCACTTAAATTATAGCATGTATTTTTACACTTTTTTCGTAATTAAATGATGTAAACTTGTGAAAAATCAAAATTATACTCGATTTATTACATGAAATATTTAAAACATGAAATTATAGCATTTTGTTGTATTGAATATTCGAAAAGAAATTACTTATCAAAAGATTCAATGATACTAGTAGATTTTTTGTTGCTTATAGATATGATATTATTAAAGATTCTGGCTGGAACATTTAAGAGATAAACCCACGAAATGCTAATTACTAGTTATAAGATCACTTTTATTTGTATAAATTTCATTAAAGATGACTGTCATTCCCCTATGTTAAACATTTTCATGATAAGTCCCAGATCTAGGAATAATACAGTAAAGAAACAGAGGCATGGTTTATTTCATGTTAATAATAATAAAAAGGTTCTTCCAATAAGTATATAGGACTGTCCTTTATCATGGCTAAAACGTTGTCGATTGTATTCAAAAACTATACAAAATCTGCAATATATCCGGAGAAGGTTCCTTTATCTACCTACTTACTTTTGTTGTACTCTCAGTACAAGATGTCGCCGTGTTACTAAATTACAGGTTTATATGTTTTTCATACAAGACTAGTTTTACAGTAGAATAATGTTGACACGGGAGGACAACCATACCCGTGGTTCAATATTTAATGAATTTATGCAGACAATAAATGAACAAACAGAACTATTAATCAAATGTACGGAAGCCGGTTGGTGCCAGGTAGAAAAAATATTTTATCTGGCGGCCGCCAGATAACTTTCTGGCGGCCGCCACATACATGTAAATAACTGGCGGCCGCCAGAAAATTATTTGGCGGCCGCCAGATAAAATATTTTTCTACCTGGCACCTACCGAATTCCGTACAAATGATTGTTGATAACGGTTAAAAACTTACCACAAATGAGCCAGTTTCTTGTCTATCAAATCCTCCAGGCACGTGTAAGGTAGAACCAAGAAATCTAATTATTATAAATTTTTACACACATATGAATAATACATGTATGTAAAAATCACAGTTTTACATGTAAGCGAGTAATTGATCCTGCTATTATAATTCCATTTATTTCAAATGCCAAATTATCAACAGCTATTACCAACAATGTAATGTGCATCTTTTGGAGATTTTTGCAGCACATATAGGAAAGCTATCATGTTGGTGCCAGATCTATTTATAACTGTTCTTTGGAAATGTTGAGTTTCTGTGATGAGGCAGTCTGTACCTCTCGTTTTGAAACATAATCATACGCTGCTTACATTTGTTATGTAACAGTAAGGTGAGTTATTTTGTCTGTCTTCATAACTTTGTTCACACACAGGGATGCTCATTTCACCAACATAAAAAACATGTTTCTTTAACATGTGTCATGTACCTGTAAGTGATGAATTCAATACCTATGACTAAAGAATTGTTTTCGTCCTCCACTTGCAATTCATTAACATTTTTTTTATTGATATCAGAATGGTTTTGTTATACTAGCACTTACATTGCGTGAAAAAAGGACCAACCATGGGACAGATTGTTTAGATATCTGATAAAAAAAAAACTAAAATATGAAAGAAATAATATAAATCAACATTTTCATACAGCTTTTTTGTGTTTACAATGATAACAATAATACGTGTAAGTCATTTGACAATTTTATATTATTACTTTACTCGGCAGGAATTCTAATCGCTTGAATTCTTACAAATTAATGTTCATTATGGCTGTTCTGAAAGGCTTTAAACATCAATTAGATAAGTGGAGGGTATGCGCATCACTTTGGTCTTCGTAAAAATTAGGAAGCATCTAAGAATCGACCTCCAGCTTTCAGATTTCAAATTAAATACGATAATGAATAAAATCTGCGCAATATTGTTTCATGAATAAAACCGTAAAGGATTGGACAGATAATGAATTTAAGGACAGATTCCAGACAAAAACGCAAAATTTGAATCACAAATTTAGATGAAAGAGACCAAAGCATCTGAGTAACCAGGTCGAGATTCTTGAGCATATGTGAGTATAGAATCATTATGGTGCTTTGCAAAGCTCACAAACAAGAAATATATAATTGTAGAAGAATCTTCTGTGAACGAACATGCACTTTTCTAAATCTTCGATATTCAAATGAAAACTACATGTACATTGTACGTACTAGGTATTCTCTGTGACCTTCACCATACGTATCTTCCAAATAAGAATACTTTGTTTATCAAAAGATTATCCACAAACAGAAATGTATCATTCACGAATGTTTAGGCATCCAATGATGCTTTTTAATATAATTAATCAGTGTGGATTTTTCTTTATCCTTAGTGGTTACAATAATGTTCAGCTTTAATAATGTGTACTCGTTCTTAACGATTTAATCAAAAGGTAGGAGATGGAAGTATTATTCATTATATATTTTATTAAAATGATTTTTTTTTGTAATGTTAAAGAGATATATCGACACAAATAGTGGAATACTGAAAACAATGGTAAGATTTTTTGCAAAGCTAATGCCAATTTTGTTCAGTTCTCAAAAGTAATAGGATTCATAAAATCGCAAGGTTCGCAGCCTAAAAAATATCTTTTACTGCGAAAAAAACATCAGTGGTTAGCCCATTAGATATTAAATAAAAGTCAGGTGACGTTGACATACACGAAAACAACGATGGGGTTGAAACAACCCAAATGATATTTTTTCCCTGGCACTTGTATAGTAACTTGTATTGCATTCTTTGCTTCCTGTACAATGCAGCTTGTCAAAACTTTGCTATGTTTATGTTTTCTTTAATCTTTCGATTCATGATACATATACCATTAACGAAATATATATAGGATCTCCCATGATTTGTAGTTGGATATTATTTTTATCCAACGAGTTGTGTGTTTTTTATCCCCGAGCCTTGGCGAGGGGATAAAAACACACAACGAGTTGGATAAAAGTCATATCCAACTACAAATCATGGGAGACTCTTTTTATCCCATGTTTAATACTTCAAACGAATGTTTTACACTGTTTTATACAGGACTCCACTTCATTTCACTTCATCACTCTAACACAAAAACCATTGTGACGTCACAACTGCACTAAACTGTGGAATATGAAAAAATTATCCAATGAGTCATATCCACGGGATAAAGGGGTAAACATGGGATAAATGATTATAATTCATTGTGTCTCTTAACGAAATGTATTAGAAGTGCAGCTTCCTGTTTAATAATGTTATACAGGCCCGTAGGAAGCAATTTCAGTTGGGGGCCATCACTACCAAGCAAAAATTTCTTGACAAGCGAAAAAAGGTCATCCAACGTTATTATTGAAGGGGCACAAGCATAAAGTAGCTATGATTTCTATAGTACACTATATATCAACAAAATTATTGGAGGGCACCCCCTTCCCCTCACCCGTTTCCTACGGCCATGTTTTATATACAGCCTTGTTCAATTTTTAAATTGCTTTATGATATATATTTATGATACATAGCCAACTGTCGATATGAGTATTTGTTGGTTGCAACATGCAAGACATATTAATGATTGATGACATAAATTCCACTAATGTTATAAATACAATGTATTGTGTTTTAGATGACTTTTAATCATAAATTTGTATCATTGGCTGACACATTAGTGGATGACAATGCCATCCAAAAATGACACAATGGATGTTTAACAGAATTGCTGATATATAAATAAATACAATTATATCACTCATGTATCACATACAAAATAAGATGAAACTATATATAATAATAATATAGATATTGTTATGATAGTATATAAAAATGTAATATCACTGTAAAATAAATGTCATCCTTGATGGCAATGATTGATTGATTGTATGTTGTTTAACGTTCCATTCGAGAATTTTTCACTCATATAGAGAGTTGATGGCAATGAAGACAATACAATTAACACAATTTCGCCTGAAAGAAAGGATTTGTTAAGAAGCAGTGTATCAATCTCTACTAACTCGGTATGCCAAATGCTTGTATTTTCTTTTTATGCTCCATGGCCTTTGTTTTTGTAGATATGCTCATAATGATGTAGCACCATTACCAGCCAATTTTTTTAATTAAGGAATGCACTTGAGGTTTGTTTTAACAAAAATGTTGGATAAGTATTTTTACTGGGGACCACGATGTTTATTGCTAACAAATTCTGATCGCCAATAAATTGTACTTAAAGCAATATGTGCTGCATTTTTGAGAGTTTTATTTTGCTGTTAAAATGTGTTATTATGATAAATTTGTATGTTATTTAAACCTTTTTTGATCAATTAGACAGAAATAAAGTATCAAATCGTTTCAGAATAAAAGATTCTGAACAATCAAGTATACAGTATCATACAAGAAATCAATATTGTACAGGACGACAATAATGTAATTTTGCTTCAATCAAAGCTATAAATATGTAGTCCTTCCATCGCAAATATGAACACCCAGTTTATAAACGTTCTTTTTATCTGTCATTGACATAGTTAATTACAATTTTGCAGCAAAAATTCTGACATCAAAATTGCAGTTCATATTGCTTTAAAATATCCCAGTGCTACATGCAACAATATCTTTAGTAAATCAAAAACTCAGATATTCTTTATGACAAAGAATCACATTTAACTCTTATTCAACAATTGCGGTCACATAATTGCATTCAGGGGCCTGACAATTGAACTGCTCGATTGCAAAAACAGAAATATAGACAAAAAGCCATTTCCTTAAAAAATTACAAAATTTACATGTAGCATGAAATATACGGAGAAGGACAGTATTAAAACTCAAAGGTCCATTTAAACAACACAAATCAGGACCAGAGGAAAGTCTTGTATTCCTTATATATAAGCAGACATTTCTACAACAGATTTTCCCGCTATAGGCCCTGTAGTCTCTAACAAACAACCTTCTGTGCCACTCTGCGATCTCCTCAAAGCAGGCGGTTTTACACGAGAATCCACTATTTCTTTATGTTTATCAAGAACCATCTGCACAACTCGCTTTTTACACCCAGCTCTAGACAACGCAGCACAAATAACATCAACAGAGGCCTTCCGATTGAGCTTTTGGCGCCAAGTTTGTAGCGATTCGAAGACTACTTCCGTTTTGTTGTTTGGATGGTTCGATTCATGCATCCATATGATACTGTCAATGTTTTCATATTCCCCAGACAATTCTGAAAAAAAGAACCTTTATTATGCAGCATTAGTATCTATTAAAAATTTATTTGTACACCGTGTAACTCTCGTGTAAACGCATTTGAAAAGTGAGATTTGCAGTATTACATATTGTTTATACTTATATTAAGTATTCTATATTTTTAACAATTAAGACATCTTGATATCAGAAGTTTAATTCTGAAAATAGTTTTGAGGTATTTCTGATTATATTTTCAAAAACTGACTGTGAGGCACAACCGTACCGAACACTTGTCGCAGAAATGTTTTGTATTTTTTGACGAACGCCTGAGTAGCAACGAACAGGTTAAGAATTCTCCATTCTTCGTCACGCAATGGTTCTAGACAAGAAAATATACTCAGGATATAGTAATCCATATGAAATGACATACAGTAATATTCTCAGGAACAACAAATCAGCACACGATGTGTAATGAAAGGAATACTACTATTCAAACACTCATGTGAGATTTCCCTAAATCTGACTGACTTAATATATGCATGAATTTTCACTTCATCTGTGTTACATGTTTATTTATTCAAAGACGAAGAAATATGAAATAAATGCAGTTGATAGTTGTAACCAATAGTTGCATTATGATTTATCATTTATATAAAATTTCAAATTTCTTCACTGGATTGATTGATATGTTTACCGATTGATTATGTCTGGTTGTTAAACAATAGCCTTTGGAAAGCAACATATTAAAACAGTACACATGTACATAGTAAAATTCATATGCAATTTTTGATGCAATAAAATCTTAAAGATATTGGATAAAGAGCATAATCATTTGAATAGAACTGATCTTATCTCGGATCCCCTCTGGAATTTTTAAACGTGGTGTTCTGTAAAAAAAAAATTGCTGATCTATATCTTTTATTTCCTACATTTGTTAAGATATTCATCGACAAGAATATATTTTAATATATATGAGTCATTTGTATACAAGAATTATTGAAATGTTATTGTAT